TACTACTACTACGACTACTACTACCAGTACTATATATACTCTTCTTCGGTACTTGGTCGGTAGAGCACCTCTCTGTGTGCCAGGTGGCGCGAAGATGAGGAGTCACGCCGAACCTGAGGTCGAGTTACCTGCTCACAGAAGTCGAAGATTGGGTTTGTCGGTTTTCATTTAGGGGTTTTCCCCTCTTGCGTGGCTGAGTTCGATGCTCACAAGCGCGGCGTCTTTGGGGCAACAACGGCTAGGTGCCGATTAGGGTATACGGTTCTAGGGTTTAGGGTTTTGAGGTTTAGGTTCAGGAACTGTTATTTCAAACGACGGATATGGTTCGAATACAACACTGAAGTAACATTAGTCCTGTGCGGACAGTCTGCTTAAAGTAAGTGCCCTGAAGGAAGCCACATCCCCTTTGCAATCGCGCATTATCGGGTCGACGGTCGAAGGCTTGGGAAAGCACACGGCATCGGAACTTGAAGGCATTCTGCTACATCTCAAAAACTCCCGGAAGTTGATACAATGGTTTTGAGTATGGTTTAGGGCTGGGCGCTTAGGCGGAGGGCTTCCCAACCCCCTCCCACAAGTCCATAGCATGAAATGCAGGCTGTCGAACAGAGACCCGCCTCTGAATCCCATCGCCCATCCCGAGCTCGCGCTGCGGATGCGGGCCGCCGTCGGCCTGCCTGTGGGGCCGTTAACCCTGGACGAAGAAGTAAGAACATGCAATCCTCACACGGGCCAGGGAAATCATCAATATCACCATCTTTCGGAGCTGTGGCAAAGCGTGCATGAGTCGATACCGCAAATGCAACCTCAGCACCACATGAACACATAACGGTACGGGTGCTCAGGCACATGTACTCAAACAACTGAAAGTAAGGACGCCCTGGCCTCTGCAGACTCGGCACGCTTCCCTGGACCTCGGAAATATGGTTTTGTTGCTGCAACTTGATCTCGGTAAATTATCGTTGGTCCATTCATGGAGGACGTGCATGCATACATCGTGCACATGTATGCATGTCTACAGTCTATATATGCATGCATGCGTACACGTACCCATGTACGCACACATGCACACACAAAAACCAACAAACACGCGCACACACACACACACTCGAAAGGGCACTTAAAGACTTTTGTATGTATACACCTACATAGTACGTGCAGATATGCAAAGATGCATATCAAACATTCAAAAAACACATACCCCTTCATGTACCAATGCTGCATGTATGGGTACATACATACATAATCACAATACATAACATGATATTGCACGTTAGTTGTGTTCTCTTGCCAAGGCCTGTCATGACTGCTTAGGCATAAAACTGACATAAACGGACACAAAATCCAAGCCGATTCTGCAAAGCCACCGCGGGCTTCGATCGCAGAAGATGGGCGGTGGTTCGCCTCCACGTGGACCACACCACGAGCTTCGATCGCAGAAGATGGGCGGCGATTCACCTTTTGGACTGGAGTCGTAGCGAACACGAGTCCAGAGCTCTCTGCCTTCCTATGGTCTGTGATACCAGTACATACGGTACGGAAAAACTCTACAGGTTCGGCTTAGTCCAGAATAAGGGCCAGGTTGGCCGAATGCGCTCAATCTGAAGGATCAGCAGCCGTGGCACTGCTACGGTTTCGGGCGCTTTGCGACTTTGCGATGCAGTAAAGGCTGAAAGTACAACCCTGCTGTACCAGATGGCGACACATAAGAAACACATCCGAAGTTGGACGTCCAGAAAAAAGTGCTCGACATCGGAAGGACCGCTGCCACAGCTGGTGACCAGGACTGCATGAATCCCGGCGTTTACGTGATGCTCCTTGCTGTATGAGACACCATGTCGCTTCGTCAGTGAGGTGCTCCACAGCCGGCTTTGTAAAGATCTGCATTAGAACGAACAGTCACGAAACCGACATGAAGCAGTCCGGATCCGAATCCGAACCGTAGCTTTGTGAGGGACCGGATTCTCGAGTCATGGAACCCCGACACCCGACACCCCGGGAAGCTATTTGCAGAGGTCGCGCACCGTGGCACCGCTGCCAACCGAGAGGTGCCGATTACTGGAAGCAGTCGCCCTGAGAGGTTCTCCCAGGATTTGAGCAGGGCAGAAGAAAACCTACATTTGCAAACATGTTATGGAAGTAGTTATGTAAGTACGTATGTATGTCTGCATATGCCG